ATTTTTTTATTTTATTTTATTTTATTTTGCTTTTGCAGAGCTTGACCTGCCTTGCAAATGTGTTCTGGTTAGCCTGAACCACTCTGACCTAGAGTATTTGCCTTTAATTGAACTCTCGTTCCCTCACAATGCTGTCCTATGGATGTCAGTCCTGTGCTTGGTCTCCCTAGTGCTACATACATTTGTGAGCAATGTCTGCAGCTCCAGACAGCCTGTTTCCAAACTCTGAGGCAACTCCTTTTATTCGTATGCCTACCCCACTCACCTGAATAAACACTTTGATTTTTTTCTCTTAATAGATGCTCATTCTTGCCTCAAAGGCATTCCTGTCTTGGGTGGGCTTGAAGAATGTAGAGAAAGGTTGACTGGATATGATTAGACTCTACTGGAAGGAATATCAGACCTTTTTGGTTTCCTTTGTATTAATCGAGTCTTTCACCATTAACTTGATCCCTTCCTTACTATGTTTCCTAAATGAAGTCTTGCTAAAGGAAAAAGTGGGTCAGTTGATGGTTCTGGCTAGTTTTGTCTTAGTTAATTTAAGGTTTGCCATATGTTCTTTGGGAAGGATGTGCTAACTATATGTCTTCTGCTGATTAACAAACAACCTGAGGGTTTTTAATTTAGACTTGCAACTCCCTGGTTAAGGAGAGAGAGAGAGAGAGAGAGAGAGAGAGAGAGAGAGAGAGAGAGAGAGAGAGAGACTTAAAGGAGGAAAGAGGTAGATAAAAGCTTAGAAAGCAGCCTTTGTACAGGCACAGTCCCAGCATTCTTTCCTGCCATGGAGCCAGGTATCTCATTGCCAGAATTCTTGATATTTGGGGTCTAATTGCTCTTTCATGTTAAAGATACCCTGTTCATTGTAAGATGTTTAGCTGTACCTGTGACCTCTATCCTTCAGATGCCAGTGGCACACCAGCCAAACACAGAAATAAAAAACTCTTTACAGACATTCCAGGGAAGTGTGTGTGTGTGTGTGTGTGTGTGTGTGTGTGTGTACATGTGCACATTTATTTGTGAAATTGCAAAATACCTCTAGTTGAGAACTGCTAGCTAGCATAGACAATCATGTGATCACCAAGTAAGAAGTATGAGGGCATCCCTGAAAGCAACAGATAAAAACGTAGGCCTTATCCTCTCTAAATTGAACCTTCTGGTAAGAGATTGGCTGGGTGATTACTGTACATCTCTTCTATGAACAGCATATGAGTGTCTCCTCTGTTGACAGGGTTCCACACCACTCTTCTACCAGTGGCCGGACCTAACAAGGTCATGGCAAAAACTTCTGTATTTGATCATCACACCCATGACAATGAATAAGAATGTGTTTGGCATTCAACAAGAATATATTGGCAAATAGACTCTCGGTACAGTCTAGGCTCTTTGGTGGGTATAATCTATGTTTGAATAGGTTACCAGTGTGGACACCAGCACTCCTCACTAGCCCAGACCCTTTGTACTTTGTACAAGATTCTCAGCCTCTGTAAGCCTCAGGTTCCTCTTGTACAGATAAGGTTGCCTGCACATTACATACTAAGAGCTGGTAAAGGCACCCATGCCAAGAAAATGCTCTATCAATTCTTTTCTTTTCATCTTCTTTGCTTCTCTGTTTTAAACATTAAGGATTGATCAGCCAGGACCTTCACACACACACACACACACACACACACACACACACACACACACATAAAAAAAAAACTAAGGTATTTAAGAATTGTGTCCATCTAGAAAGATGGCTATGGTTCCCAGACATTTTATCTACTGAATTTCACAGGGGGAAAAAGTAAGCAAATAGGAGCATTTTTAAAATTTTTAAAATAAGTATATTTCAAAAAGAATGCAATGCCAATTCTAGCTCTAACCACTAGACGGCAGGCATATGCTCTGCTGTGGCAAGACGTCTAGAGGATACCCAGCTATCAAGCCTGAACCAGTGGGACAGTATTTGAAAATACCATCAACCATATCAGTCCTTTGTATTTTATTTGTGTCTTTTTATCACATTTTCCCCCAAATAACAACTTTATCACAAGAGAGTAATTAGTGGTAGATAGTAGTTGTGTACTATAGTCTTTTGTGTGTGTGTGTGTGTGTGTGTGTGTGTATGTGCATATGTTATCTTGCATAAGAGATTATATATGTACATGTGTGTGTGCTTCTATAAGGGAAATATATACATAAATGTAGATAGATATAGAGACAGAGGGAAATGGATCCCTCAATCCTTTTCAATATATATTTGTGTAATATGTTTAATAGTCATATTCTAGCTACATTTGTAGAGTTTGACAGTACATTAATGGCCAATTCAACCCAACTAACATAAGTACCAATCCAATAGGTTCTTTTCGCACTGATACTCATTCTCCAAAACAGATACAAAAATATTCTGGTGTTTCCATCATTTCCCCCAAGAGGAAGCATCTGCTGACTTTTATTTCACCAGAGTCTAGGATCCAGGGGTGCCCAGTGTCATTTGGTTATGCTAGATAGAATGGCATCAAACTTGCTGACAACTTGATTAATTCCAATCAGAAACACAGGTGGCCCCAAAGCCCGCCAATGATATGTGTGCAGTTGCTTAGGAAACTGGGGAGGAATAACAAGTGGTGTTTGCCCCTCTAATTACTTACACATCCTCATAAATGTGTTGTTGGTGCTAAGTCACACCAAATGTCTGCCTCTCTGAGGGTGAGGAGCAAAGGTAAAGTGCTCTTATACACTGAGAAGCTTGGGAGAATACTTTAAACATGCATATCTGTTCAACTTTTTACTTTAATCATGTTTTCTTTGTGATAGGAACTTTATAGCTTAATGAATGTGTGGTCTTTTGTGAGACAGGTGGTCCTTCTATGCAGACAGAAGTCTGAGTCAGAAGCTGCTTTTCCTATGCGTATAGGTCTAAAATGAGTTTCCCTTAACCCACTTTTCTGGAACAACCTCAACTGGGGCTAAGACCAGTTTGAGAGAATGCCATTCATCATTTAAAAACATTTTTTTCTCTGTAAATATTTTTTAAAGCCTTAATACCATTGCTGAACTTTAATCAGCTTGGAAAATACTGAAAGGCAAGGTTAATCTATCACGATTCCCAGGATAGGACATGAATTGTGGCCTTGAACTCTTTACAGAGAGCACAAGATGAGATTAGAAACCTCAGTGGGGAGAAAAAATAGGGAGGAAAAAAGAACTACCCACTTAAAAATTAGATTCCCTTTTAAATGGGTAGCAGCTTGCTTAGAGGGGTCACAGCAAAATTTTTTAAAGCTTAAAGCTTAACTAATTTGAGGAATAAAAAATTGCAAATATCACAAAACCTTAGTTAAAACTACCACTCTCCTTTATGTTTGGCTTCTCCCTCCTTCTGCCCTTCTCGAAGGCCAGAGGCACTGAACCAGGAAGCTATGTGAGTGAAATCCTTGTGTGTGTGGGATACACTTGCTTGCCTATGAATATGAACTTGGCTGGCCACACATCATTTGCTCTGAAAATCTCTAATGTCTGATTTTTCTTCACAAAGATTCTTCATTTGATTTACAGGGTCTAAAAATATCCTGAATTCATGATATTTTGTTGCAAGAATAGGGGAGCAGCAGAGAAGAAAACATGCTTATGCCCCCTCTCACAGCTATGCTAAAAAAAAAAAAAAGAAAGGGAATTGAGGAGAGGGTGTTAGGATAGAAGCAAACTATATATTCCAATGTGAATATTTAGGGGGCAGAGGAACGCTGCAGTTCTCATGTCTGCCACAAAGGTTGGCTTCTAGAAGTAAATTTCTTACAAGCACAGCAACACCATCGCCCAGTGCTCCAAGACAGAAGAGCAGCATTTGGTACTGGATTCCTGTAGTCTCTCTGGGAAGAGGTGGAGTTAATAGGAACCCTACTTCAGTGGCCACAGGCTGTAATTTAAGACAAAAACTAAAGCAGACGTCATGGTTCTGCTAGAGGAAGTGCTCTCAGTAAGGTTCAGTTGTGCTGATTTCACGCACATTCCTACTCCCACCCTTTCATTATTAATCTGTTTACAAAAGCAATTCAACACCCTCATGCTTAAACTAAACCCCAGACCCCATCCATAAAGTTATCAACACCTGTCTTTTTAGAACATTCACAATCTGAATGAGTGTTAAAAACATGATGTGTATCATAAAATCCTATCATTATAAGGAAACAGAGCTGGTGTGTGTGTGTATGTGTGTGTGTGTGTGTGTGTGTGTGTGTGTGTGTGTGTGTGTGTGTGTGTGTATGTGTGTAGCTTTCTCCTGAGGCTTAACATGTTAAAGATATTTGCAAAATATTTCTCTTGAGGGAGCCTTCTGAAAGCCATATTTTAAGGCATATTCGTTTCTTCAAAGGTAGAAGATGGATCTACCAGCAATCCTTAGCTTAAGTAAACGTTCTGCTAATATTTCTCTACATTTGAAAAAGTGTGGTTTTCCTCTTTAGGTTAGTAATTGGATACATTTGCATTTTGAGAGAGAGAGTTATGTATTCACCCCCTCCCATCTTGATTCCTTCTATTTGTACTTATCTCTTGAAAGGAAGGCAGGGGATAAAAAAGAAATATGTTGTGCTTTAGTATCAGTTAGAAGGGTTACGTGGGAAACAGGGTCCAGTTGTTATCTGCTTTCCTGACAGTGTGTTTCAATCATAACATCTGATTGCATTGTTAGGTGCTTTAAAAATACCGTCCATCAATACACTCCTCCTCTTTTGCCCTTCCCAGAACCCACCCAACTGCCACTACTCCCACCTCCTCCCTCTTTAGTTCAATAATAAAAAAAAATACAATGTCAGTGAAGGGGCCCTGGAAGCCTTGGAGGGCTGGGAAGGGACTGTCAGTCATCTCAACATAGAAGAGAAAAGGAGGAAAAACAGGGAAAGCACGCACCACATGAAAGGGACATCTGAGAGGAGTCAGCATTCTTGTTCTGTGTTAACAAACTATTCCCATATCACTATTATGCAAACGGAGGGACAAAGAGGGATATCACCCACCTCACCAGCAAGCCTGTTCTGCCAAGTCAGGACCTGAATTTTCTCACCACAGGTCATTACCCAAAGGGGATTCCTGAGTCAGGGTTTCCTCTCTCCCGGTAGTAACTCCTAAGCTGAGGCTTTCTGCTCTTAACTCCGGAAGAACCTGTCTTTCAATATTGAACACTGAGATATTCATATTCTCTCTCTCTCTCTCTCTCTCTCTCTCTCTCTCTCTCTCTCTCTCTCCCCTCCCTCCCTCCCTCCCTTCCTCCTTCCCTCCCTATCTCTGAGCCAAGAGAGGGCATGATAAAGGGCACAGATGGCTACCAATTCTAGTGAGTAAAAGACGTAGGAGAATTAAGACCAAAAGACCAAATGGCTTTTGATAGGAAATCTTGAGCTGATTTGAAAGATGGTTATTTTAAGGGGGAAAATGTTTCTTACTGGCAGGACAAACTGTCAGGTGTTGCCTTTTAAAAGCCATTTACAATGATCTTGCCAAGATCTCTGATCTCTACCTTAGAGGCCTCTTCCCTCGACCATCACTTTGAAGTAGCTAGATGTCTTAGCCCCACTTCTCAGACTATGAAGGGTCCTTCTGACTTTTTTTTCTTTTTTGGACCTTACAGAGATAAATTACCAGTACCATTACAATGATCAGCTTTCCTCGTTTGCCCTTCTTAGCATTTCAAATAGAACCTAAAAATTTTGCTCCATGATTTCTTGATTTTTTCCCCACCTGCCAAGACCCCTCACTTCCACTCCCACCTGCATTCCAAGGAAACTTTAACCATTGCTTCTCCGTTAAGACAGGTAGCAGTTCATTTAGGTTCCACCAGTCTGTAGAAACTGTAAATGCTATTTTATTTTAAACGTTTTAGTTTACAAAAAAAAAATCAATGATTGGTACCTTTTTATTAACACTCTCAGATTCCTGAATATGGACAGATCTTCAAAGGGAGGAAGGAGTTCTCATATGAAATTTAAGACAGACTGTCCTGAAGATTATGGGGTGGGGTTTTTGTTGTGTTTTATTTTTTTTAAGACACATAAAGCTAAAATGTCAAGTCTCTGGGAGAGATCCCCGTACAGTTTCAGTCAACACATCAGAGCGCAGAGGAGACCCCGTCCTGGTGCCTGCCGGCCCGCCCGGCTGCCCAGACGTATTTGGTAGCGCATGGGTTGAGAGCCACTGGGACAATCACACCTCGCATTCTCTCGCGGGCTGCTGGTGACAGGTACATGAGCCATACTCGTTGATGATCACCAGGGCCCCCTCGATGTGGTTGGGTTTGTAATCAACGTAGTATTCCTGGGCAGACATAGCAGCCATCTGATGCATGGTCTGTTTCTGCTTCTGCTTCCTGCGCTGCGTGACAAAGCACTGTCTGAGCTGCCTGAGGCTGGCTGGGAAACATTTCCAGGATACATAGAGTACCAGGACCACGATGAGGAAGGAGAAAATGAGAGCCATCGTGCCCGTGACCACCTTGTGGATCTGCACAGCGTTCTCAGCGTGCTCGCCGGGGAGAGCCACGGTGATGGGCTCAAGAGTGCCATCGTGCAGTCCCTCCCCGCCATCCACCAGCGTGGTGGCTGAGCTCTCAGGGGGCACTAGGTCACTGCGGTTAGTGACAGCAGACAGGAGGTGGCCGCTGGTGGGCTCGGCCCCATCCTCGCACAGGTGGAAAGCATACACAGCATCCAAGACGTCCTCGCCCTGTGCGTACTCCGGGCTGGCGCACTGCAAGTTAGCATCATAGCGCCCCTGGAAGTTGCTGAGCCAGGAGGCCAGGGCGCATACATTGCGCCCACAGTCCCACAGGTTCCCGGCCAGGGTAATGCTCGTAAGGGACTTCCAGGAGTTGAGGATACGGGGCTCTATATAGGTGAGACGGTTGGAGTCCAGCTGCAGGGACTGCAGGTACGGCACGGTCTCGAACACGTGGGGCTCCATGTATTCGATCTCGTTCCCAGACAAGTCCATTTTCTCCAAATTCCAAACCCAGTCCAGAGAGCTGACCACAATAGCCACCTTATTCCGCCGCAGGCAGAGCGAGTGAAGAGAGATGAGGCGCGGGAAATGGGCGAAGTTCACCTTGATCAAGTCGTTATGCTCCAGGTGCAGCTCCGTGAGCTTGAACAAGCCAGCGAAAGAGTTGCGCGCCAGACTCTTGAGCTGATTGTATCCAATGTCGAGAAACTTGAGGCTGCGGCAGTCCTGGAAGATGCGCACCGGCACAAACTGGATGGCATTGGCCCGCATGTGCAGCGTGGTGAGCTTCCGCAGCCCGTGGAAGAGATCCGGAGCCAGCGCCTGCAGCTTATTGTAGGACAGGTCCACGCTGCGCAGGTTGGGCATGGGCCGGAAGGTGGTGTTGGCCAGTTGGGTGATCTGGTTGGAACTCAGTGTGAGTTCCTTAACTCGGCGCAGTTTCTGAAAGGCGTCCCCCTGCACCGAGCAGATGTGATTGTGATCCAAATACAGCCACGTGAGCTGCATTAACCCCGTGAACTGGCCGGCGCGCAGCTCCGAGAGGCTGTTGTAGCGCAGAGACAAGCCCAGCAGGCCGGACAGGTTGTGGGGCGCCTCGGTTAGGTTGAGCGCCTCGCAGTACAACAGCCGCCCCTCGCACCGACACTGCCCCGGGCATCCGCTGGGGGCGGCGGGCAGCATCTGAAAGCAGGCCCCCAGCAGACACAAGACCACCCCCGAGGGCCTCCTCAGCAGCCAGTGTAGACAGAGGCCGAGTAGCAGGAAATCCATTAGCGAGAATCTTTCCAGAGAGACTGGAGAATGTCCATTGGAAGCGCTGGGTCAGAAATCTATATCATATTTTATTCCGAGGGAGAGGGGAGGGAGGGGGAGGGGGGAGAAAGGGACAAAAAAACAAACCCAAATCAATATAGAGAAATGTAGAAGGAACCCCCCCTCCCCAGAGCCACACGTTCACCTCTAAGCATGCAGAAAGCCGGGCAGCATACAAAGTTCACAGCCACGGAAAGATCAAAGCTGGGGTAATGCAGTCCATGTTAGATGCGGCAGCAAAGAAAAGGGAGGAAATTTTTTTTTTCTTCTGGAAAGAATTTAATTAAAAAAGTGTCTTACCCACCCTTTTCCAGCGAGTGACAACCTCCATTCAGCTGCTCCCTTTGTGTGTAGGCTAATTATATGCAGGGCGAGAGAAGACCCCTCTGTGTTTCCCGAGGCAGCCCTGCTCCGCGGCCCGAGGATCTGGCAGACGCACAATGTCTCACTTTGCTGCTGCGCTCCGGGGCTGCAGGGGCGGTCGGCGAGGCGGGGAGGCGACTTCTAGGACCCGCAAGTTTCCCAACTACGTGCCGCCTAGAGCCCGGGCTTCTTGCCTTCCTGCCTCGGTCCCCCTTTTTTTCCTCTGCAGTTGAGACTGTGACGTGGTGGGGCGGGTGAGAGAAAAAATCAACTCCAAACTCGGGGCTCGAGACTCCCCAGGATTTGACAGTCTGGAGAATGTCATTGGTAATGCCCACCGCGGATCGCAGCCACCTTGGAGTCCCGGTTGGAGAACGCCTGCCATTCGTGTCCTAAGCAGCTGCGGAAACCTGGCCGGCTCATGCTTTGCGGAGCGCAGAGCAGTGCTCGACTCCTTCCCTCCACCGAGGAGTGTGCGCGAGCCTGCACCGGCACCGACTGCTCACTGAGTGTCGTAAGCTGCTCGCGATTGTGCGTCTTCTCTGAGCACCTCCGACACCGGCAGATTGAAAAGGGGTGGGCAGAAAACCAACGGTTTTTTTTTTTAACCAAACCGCTAAAGTAATATATGTTCTTTGATGAAATGAAAAACACTCAGCTTTTTTTTTTTTTCGGTCTATATTTCAGGGCGGAAAAAAAAAGAAGAGGGGATGGGGTAAGAAATATCATCAGTGACAAGATATATCCAAATGAGGGGCTGAGATATTCGGTTGCCCTGCCAACCTTTCTTTGGGGCTATACCCTCCTCCCTTTAAACTGTCTACGTGTAACAGATACGTAGGACTCTGTAGAGCAATCAACATTTGTTTCTTTGCTTTCCAAAAAGCAACTTGAGAGGAGGCACAAGAAGGCAGTGATTTGGGGTTTGGCT